CACTTCTTTATCTAACCATTTTAAACCTTCATCCATCTGCTGCAGTTTAGTATCAGTGCCACGTGCGTCAGCTTTCAGCTTCGATATGTCGCCTTCCACAATGGCCGTCTTTGAACACAGATTACTCAGAGTTGTTTCGATGCTGTCTAACTTGTATAGCTTTAATAATATTTCGTCAAGCTTCTCTGACATCTTATCGGTTATTTCTAATTCTAGGGCGGGTGAGACTTCAATTACTTCTTCGAAGTCTTCTTGGACTTCACCTTCGTTTTCTTTATGCTCCGTATTCCGTAGTCGCTTATCCGAGGGGGAACTTGATTCAGAACCGCTAGAATCACTACGTTGTGTTGATGTACGCTTCAGAGTAATAGTTTTCTTTTTGTGGAGGGAAATTTTATCCATAGACGGGCAACCTTTAGCTTGTAATAAGCTAACAAGTACGGAGCTCTTACGGACACGTCTGCACCGCCATCTTGCCCGTACCAATCTCTGGTAGCCCATAGATCTAAAAGATTTTGGTTGTCACGTTACTGTCCATACGTACGTGCGTACGCCAATACCTTGAATTATCACTCACAGTGCAAAATTACTGAATGCTAATTGACTGAGACAGAGGGCATTTTTTTCTTAATCAGGAGGGCATTGTATTCAAGAGGGCATGATTACTTGATGCTGATTCGCTGAGCGCTCCTGCATCAAGTTGGTGTCCTGCTAGGAGCGAATTTTGAAAAGGAATTTGCCAAACGCATCGTTTCTGAGTTTGATCTAACGCGGTTATTTCATCTTAACGTGAAAGAAAATCGACAACCAGCAAAGCGCAGTGTTTTGCTGGAAAAGTAAAGGATTTTTCCATCCAAAAATGTATTTATTTGAAGCTTATAAAAACTTTGAGTCGGGACGCCTGGTGTTGCACGAAGCATAGAGTTACAGAACTTCATGGCAGCCAAACTGAAAGTTAATTTCTTCGTTTTGCTTCGGATCGCGTTATTAGTATCACAGGTCACCTTATCAGCGTCAAAAAGAGCGTCAATTTTGTTGGTACGTTAAGTTTTCGCGGAAGGAAGAAGAGTTTTGGATTCAAGAAGTTATTGGAGCTCGTTTGGACACTTGTTTACGTCTTTCTTGATGTAGTTTCACACCGTTGCAAGCTTCGCAAAACAGGTGAATAAAATTAGATTCTTTAAAGTTTTATTTGTAAAGAAATTGTTTTGAGTGAATTAAAGTTACTGTGGTTTGCTTACTATTATAGTAGGCTTTTCTCGTTCTGCAGCTAGCCTGTTCTTTAGTGACAACCGGCAAACCTGTTTACGCGACAGCAAGACCTTGAAAGTTTTCCTTCGTACAGAATTTTGCCCTTTATGAGAAGCAAGCAATCGCAAGTGTACTCGGAAAATTAAATATTACTTTCACTTGTATTTTCAAAGTTTTTCAAGTTGTCAAAATTTTCCAAAACTTTAAAAATACGCGTGAAATTAATCCTTCATTGCCCTCGGGTCCATGCGAATGCGTGTACAGATAAGAGATTAGCACCATTATCATAGCTATACCTTTGATTTTGGGTATCCAAGTTACAGTTAATTGACAGCTGTTAAAACAAGCTATCCGCTGACCAGTCTCATGTGATCATACCGCGGGCTCAGGTTTAGAGCTCATCGAAGTCGGGTGTTTTTTGAAGTTGACCGCTGACCAGGGACGGGGTTTTTATTTCATTGGATCGCGGGCTCAAGCAAGGTTATTACTTTGGGGGAGAAGGAGGAGTACGTGCAAAGGCAAAATTTTGTTGGAAATTAACACCTGGTGCGTTTCTGACGTTTCTTCGTACATATTCCTTGCACAATCGTCTCATCAGTTTGTTAAAATTTAACTGGAAAAAATAGCGAAACCACATGCTGAACAATTACATGCTCACAATTGATCTTTCTTTTTTCTGACCCAAGAAATCCTCTTTTTTCTTTATGGTTAGTTTTTGTAGTCAGGAGCTCCGCTTTTAGGCTTGGCTAGGGCTATATATTACGCTGAAGGAGGAAGAGTACGTGCAAAGACAAACATTCGGCTCAAATTAACCCTAGAGCATTGTTGACTTTTATTCAGACTTATTCCTTCACCATCGTCTCGTGGAAAGTCCTTGATATATTGCCTGCGTACTTTCTATAATCTTGGTGACGCTTACAAAGTCTAGTTGGTTAAAATTTAACTGGAAAAAATAGCGAAACCACACGCTGAACAATTACATGCCCACAGTTGAGTTTCTGATCCAAGAGAAACAAACTCACTTTTTCGTTTATGGTTAATTATTGCCATCAGGAGCTCCAGTTTTAGGCCTGGCTAAATTTATATATTATAGCGTGAGCGATGCGAATATGTATTTTTTTGAATTCTACTAAGATTAATTGACTAGTTCGCTCGATTCATTTGCCTGTTGGTTGCACGCTGACGTCAGTTTGTTTCTTTGTCCTTTTTCTCGGCAATTTTGTTTTTCATGTATTCTTCCTATTTGTTTCTTCTTGAATATGGAAAAATCTAAAAATTCTTCTTGAGAAGAGGAAGATAATTCTCTGAGCTACCAAATTTCGAGCTCGTCTCCACCTAAGAGATTTGCTAATTTAAGCGAGCAGGAGTTGAATCAGCTGGTTGGACAAAGACACTTGAAGAAGACCAAAAAAACAACAAACTGGTCTGTATTAACCTTTCGAGGATAGTAATGTATAGCGGCAATTTTAGAGAGAATTTTTCAGCAATTTGGCGATAGTAAAATTCAGCACAAGCTTTCATTGTAAAACTTTTCTGGCGTCGGAAGCCATTTCATGCTTTTAGCAGGGAAACCTTGTTTATGAGAGTTCAAGTTAACAAATATCTGATTTATGTGAAGTCTTACATACGAAATCCTTCTGTTCCAAAGACGTTAAAGATAAAGCTTTACAGACGTTTTATAAAATATTGGTAGCCCGTGATGAATTATTTCAGTTCTCGGGTTTCAGTTTTACTCGATCGTGAACTGAACTCTTGAACGGCAGGTCTTTTCCACGGGTTGCGGGTGACGGGTGGAGGGTAACGGGTGGCGGGTTGCGGGTAACGGGTGGCGGGGTTTTTTTTACTGTACGCTCTATTTCTATTTAAAAAGCTCAATTTCCTTTGTAATCATTCCATTCTACAGAAATTTGTAACAAAATCCTTTAAACACTAACAAAACCAGGTAGCAATACCTGAAAATGTCTACAATAATAGTATAATAAACAAATCTGAAACGGTTTTACTCACATAACGAGAAATTCTAAACGTACGCTAACATAAGAGACGTAACATTCACGGCTATCTTGAAAACAATTTGGGCCATCGCCTTAGCCCAAAAAACTCTGTAGAAACTCTACTTGCTTACGTACAATGAGAAGCCTTTTCAAGCGGTTTGAAACCGCCGTAAATCGAACCGAGAAACATTCCATATTTCACGCAGCACTAAAACCCCTAGACCATTCTTTTTTCAGGCTCTAACTCTTACCCGTCAAAAAATAGCATAAAAGAGCCCTGAAGGACAGCTGTACTGAGGAATATTCAAAATGGCAGACAAATTTAGTCATAAACAGTAAAGGTGGGGTGAAAAAAATAGTCCGCGTACGGTGATTGTTTGATGCGAGCTATTATAAACGTGATATAATTTGCCGGAAATTCAAGTGTCTCTAAAGGCAAATGGCACAAGATGTTTAACTCGAAAGGAGCCAAAAGTTATGTACACTGACAACATCAAATGTGTTCTCCAAGTTCCACATCCGTATGGATGATTTAGACCGTCACCAGCAGCCAAAACGCTTTGTAGACGGTTACAGTTGATCTGATAGAGCTGGAGCGTGAAACTTCCTACAAAATTCGCGCCATAGAAGCTGTTTATTGGACTCTACCAATCTTCCCTCAGTGGCCTCTTCGATTTCGATGTTGTCGTGTGTTGCTAGAGGGGCACATGAACGCAACGGATGGTAATACACCGCCTCTGGAGTTTTTGTGATGCAGATCTTGCTTTCCCCGCTTCGCTGAAAAACACGACAGTCCTTATGCCGCAAGAAAATATCATGTGGGGCAGGCGGAGGTGAATCTGATGCTTTGTCCCGTACACGTCCCTTGCACCCGTAGCATGTTGTAGCCTTCGTCTGAGCAATAAAAACAACTTCGCAGGGAGAATCAGACTCAACTGAGGCTTCAACATCAATGCCATCCCCGTATTGTGACGTACACATCACGGGGAGGATGTTTCTTTCGCTTGCGGATGCTCTTCGTTTCATTGTCTTTCTTTCCTGCCCCATTGGGAATCGTTGCACGAATCATCCTCTCAACTGGCAATTTGTATGATTCGACATACGACCAGAGAGCATGCCAAGGTGATGTGCTACCGCCAAGGTATGAGCACAAATTCCGCATTCGTTGAAACGTGGGCAGTCAACGCAGGCTAATTTCTTTCTCGCTATCTGGACAGTGTTGGAGAGTGGGCTGGATAAGGATATGACTATCCTTCGGCTGTCGTCGTTTGGGAAGGAACCAATACCATTCAACTGGACAATTTTGTCTACGTTGGTCCAGGAACCTTTCAGAAATTCTGGGAGACCTGAATCTTTGAAACTCCCGATTACCTATGTTTGTGTCAGGGGTTGTTCTTTGTTGTCTTCTTCGATATCCTCTGTGATGGATGTTCCAAGTTTGGCAAGGTGTCTCCCCCGGTCACGCCGGGAAATGTACATTAAGGTCAGGTTAGGTTATGGTTATCTAAAGCACTTAAGCACTAAAGTCGGGTCAATTTTTTCAAAAAAAATAAAACAGCAAAAACAACAACAAAACGTTAAGAACTAATAATTTTAAAATAATTAAAAGGAAGACAGAGTGTCTGGATTGAGCAAAATTGTTTCATTAGCAGGAAAATCAGGCATCCGGCGGCCTTTTGAAATTTTCGCCGAGTTTGACAGAATTTTAAATTGGGTTATTTTTTATTTTGCCTTCTAAGCAAGTTCAATATTACATTGAATTGGTCGGAGATTGTCACCCGCCACCCGTTACCCGTTACCCGCCACCCGTTACCCACCACCCGTTCCCGCCACCCGCCAACCGCCAACCGCCACGCCTAACTTATCATTTTATTTAAAACGAAGTGAAAAGGAAAACGTAACACACAAACCTGCTTTTGATGAGGAGCTTCTCAAACAGCTCAAAGCCAGGGCTGTTTGTTCGCTTTCTACCTCACTCTCGCTTTTAAGAAATGTCTGGTTCCATATTGTTCTACTCTTTTGTCGAAGAGGCCGTAATGGACAGAGAGCTAAACCATGCACCAAAAGTTTGTCTTCGGAAAACCGATCCAAATCAGTTAACTAACTTTTGAGAAACGTTTTTCAGACAGCAATTTTCGTTTGTTGTCAGTTTGATACCTAGATTCTGACTGAGCAGTTTGAAGTTGTTGGAGATCGAGAAAACTTAAACTAACGCACTGCGATCCAAGAAAAATGTTGATGGGTCGCTCTGTCTGATTTTTGAATGAACATTTTCGTGCGGTTGATCGTGCTTTGACTTCATGTTAGCGGGATGAGATTCAATAAATATTTTTATCCGATACGAAAGATGTTAAAGCCTCAATGTTATAAAAGAAATGGTAAACGTGCAGCGTGCAACTATCAAGTTATGGATGTACTTAGGAGGTTTGCTAAGCACTCAAGAAGCTAGAGTAGGTGAATCCTTAGTGAATGCATTATTCATTTTTTAGTTGAAGCCACTTGTGTGCATCAACCCAGTCATTGAGGTAACACTGAATACCATATGCATTCTCCAAGCCTTCTTTAAAGCCTTCCTCGCTGAAGCTCCTCGCAACCGAAATCTGGAATAATAAGAAACAATTGCAGTTAATAAGCTTTCACTAATCAATACAATCAAAACAAATAAACATACATAAACAATAAAGGTGTGGCTGCCTGGAGTACCCATAAGTGCTAGTGGAGCTAAGCAGCCAGTTGACATCAGCGTTAAATGAAAAGAAATTATAGGTAAGCAAGATAGAACAAATACACACATAAAAGAAAGGAAACGAAGAGACAAAAATGCTATCACTATGCTATTAGAGAAGTCTGGAGTAATTAAATTTATATATATGTATAAAGTATTAATTTTAGAGAAGTACACAATTAATAGCTATAGCTTGAAAATACATTTTTTCCTTAAATAAGCTGCAGTATGCTTAGTATTCCAATACCTTCAAACATTTCCGAAAATATTGTAAAATTTGAACTTCCACTAATGTTCGGAAGTCTTTGGCGAGCTTCGGGTGATTTTTGCCAATCTTAAAAAATCATCGGCAATTTTCGGCAATCTTACGTAATCTTTGCAAGGGTTCGGGTTATTGTCGGAGGTGTTCCAAAATATTTGGATAATAATCGACGATCTTCGGAAATATTCGGAAAACGTCCAATTACCTTCGGCTATGCGGATGAACTTAGTCCACCTTCGAAATACCTCGGATTATTCAATCAGAATCGAGTAATTTTTTTCAAGTGTATTATTGTCACACGCCTTTGTCAACTATGATTACGAGATAAAAATCTCGAGCTCAAAACGAGATGAGATGTTCTTTTTTTCTCCTGTTTACTGTTTGTCATCTATCTCTTACTTGACTTATAATGACTGTTCTATCCCTTTATTTTATGTTCTGACTATGCCAGGAATTTCGTAAACTGATAACGTCTCTATTAGACTTGTACAAATCGCGTATTCATCATAATCACTTTTTTTCTGGATATCGTCAATTTTTTGTGTCTGTAATAACTGACCATGGAGACAAAACATAACTATGGCTGCAGATCTTTTTAGTTACAAAAGCTTGAGGTTAAGGTTATGTTTTAAGTGGGATTTTTGAGAAAAAGGAAATCAACTGTTTTCTTCCAACACGATGCCCCCATTCGCATGATTTTCTACTAGTCTAAGGCTCTCTTAGTTTGAATCTTCACTTCGCTTTCCTTGGCTACTTGCACGATTTTCTAAGAAAATACTAAAGCAGCTGGTACTATTACCAGCTGTCTTTGAACTCTAACATTGCTCAATCGTTTACCGTCTCGAGATACCAGTCAGGGGATGATCCATAATTGTCACGCTTAATGCTCACACTTCGTAGCGCTCCAATGTAGTCCTTGCCTTGGAAAATAAAGGTATCTTCACTGAAAAAAATAGTAAAGAACGTCGATCAAAAATTTCCCATTATACTGAAAAGGCTAGTATTTAAAGGGATGATTTTGAAAATATATCGTGCCCTGGAATTTTTTTTGCTGGAATTAGGAAATTGAGATTACAAAGACTTTCCATACATAGAATGCATAGAAAGTGTAAAGGTATAATTCTGCCAAATAACAGTCGATCAACAATACAAGGTCATTTTAAAGGTTATGGTAGTATTTCAGCCCCCCCAAAGAACCATTTTTAAGACGTTTAAATTTCTAAACTCAAAGGAGTCTATTTATAGTAGGCATAGAGTGGAACCATTGACAAAAGACTCCAGAAATATTTTTGTACTAGTGCAAAGTAGACACTGGCTAATTAAATCAGACAACAAGGCTAATAACTAATAACTGACAATGGAATATAGCCGCAGTGAACTTCTCAAATGGTCACGTAGGAAGTCTAAGCCATTAAGGTTACCGTATACCTTCAGGTCGGCAATTTTCTTCAAATTTGGATTTTTGGGTCAAAGTGGTGGTCGAAGAATAATCTCTAATTTCTGAAAAAAAAAATTGAAAAAGACTAAATATTGGCGGAGAAATGGCGGTTTTACGTTTTCTCCGGAAGTTATAGTTTACCTCTTGATTGACAGCCCTATGGCGCGTATGCAATCAACCGAGACGATTTTCGCGGGAATTACCTGTACGGGTGTCACGAATTGATTACTCAGTTCATCAGCATTGTTGCTCTGACTACCAAGCATTTTTGGTATTAGGTGTACTTCTATTAGGTTATAAGTAAACATAGACCACGTTAAAAACATGGACGAGTTCGAAAAAGCGAAGAGAGCGAAGAACGAATGAATACATACATCAATGAGTGAAAAACCGAAAGTTCGCCACGCAAATGAAGCTATAGCTATCGTATAAGGAGGGCAAAAAATTAGAGGTAAGAGAAAAAAAAGGTTCTGTAAAAATTTGGGAACTTGCCAGAGACTCTTCTGATGAGTCCGATATCGACGAATCATTGGACTCATTGAGATCCATTGAAATATTATCCACGCACAGTTGTTCCGCCGCGCATTCTCTTATTTGTTTTCTTCGCTCAGCCACTCTGGCGATCGTCTCCTTTTTCGTCTTCCCCATTTTGCCAGAGTGACCAGCTTCCTGAAAAACCGAGCTACAGAGAAATGATCTCTCCGCCTTCGGCGCCTTGAACGCCTTGGAGCTTCGCGACCAGGAGGTTAACGGTAGTAAACTTTCCCTGAACTGATTGGCTCAGTTATCTGAGAACCCAGTTGAAGGAGTTTGTGGGTGGAGTCTGTTTGTGAAGCAGAAGATTTTGCTTAACGCTGTTTTCGCGAATAAATTTTTTCGCTTGAAGCAGACACTTTAACGAGTTCTAACTCAAAGGGAATTTGTTCAATTGCCCTCAAATTTGGACAGTAGCTAGTTTAACATATAAACTATCGAAACTGCGAATTGTTAATTACGAAATACTTTTTCTTCGAGAGCGATTTTTGTACGATCACTCCACATTTTTTTAATCCTATTTCGAAAATTTTCTGTAACTTTTTACTGCGATTGAATATGGCAAAACGAAGACACGTTTTTTTAGCGCATTGGGGCCCTGAAACCGAGGAAAAAATTAAATTGGCGAACAACAAAATTCGCTTTGACTTGTTGCTTTCGAAAGGTGATTCGGGTGCTCGCATTTAGTGGTAGTAAAAAATTCGACAATTCATTTTATTTCAAAATTATTGGTATAGTTTGATAGCCAGCTCTATAAGCTATAATTTGATATAGGAGTTTAGGTATCTACCGCTTAAACTGCACTCGCTACATCGCTTGCGCGCGAGACACCGCTGAAGGTATACTGTAACCTTAATTCGATAAAAAGTAATGAATTCAGATTAAGCGTTGTAAGCGTTCACAGTTAAAACAGTGTGCGTAATGTTTAATTTAATGTGAATTAAAGAGCAGGTTCCGTGGTGAAAGACTGCCACACCTAGTTACCTTCCTTTCTCACGATTATCCTCTTCGTTATCAATTTCTTTCTCTATGTATCCTGTTGTTCCGTTGATCCTGATATACACGTTTGCATCTGTGCCGGCGCCGTCAACAGTCCCAGTCTTGACGACCACTTGGTACCACGTTAAATACACTGCTAAAGTGAAAGAAGCAAAATATTGAGTTAAGTAGAGAGGTTGGTCTATATTTTTCCTTAAAACAAACCGCTGATGTTCAACTGAGTTATTAATCTATTGTTTGAGTTTCTTGTATGTATGAAAAAACTTTGCAAGGTTTAAGTTTATTTCTTTCAGTCGAAATCATCCTTTGTCTTTGGAATTTGTCGATTCTAACGATAATAATCAGTTCTAACGCTACCATGCTGGGGACACAGTTGCATCATTTCGTTTGCCGAACTCAAGAAATCACACTCGTGTAAAAGGAATAACAATAACAATAAAACTATTAACGTGTCAAACCATGTAGCCTGAGTGAAACCCATACTAATAAGGAGACACAGACTGATACAAAATGCAAAAGTGAGAAGACTAAGATATCTACACTTAAATATGAATGATACAAAATGAGGTCTAAACTGTTGTAAAGATAAAACTTAACATTACAGGTAATATATCGAACGCTGATCTAATGTAAAAAGAATCAATTAATTTTACTAATACGATTTAAGAGTATCATGTTGAGCAGAGGATACAACCCTTGCAGCCGGCCTCTGTGAACTTGGTTAAATCTTTGCCACGAATGCGCGTTTAAAACTCATTAAGTGTTTTGCCTGATCTGTCATCCGTTAACAGTTTTCCCCATAATTTGGGTCCTAAGTGTCGCAGTGAGTGCCTACCGTACGCTACAGAGTTATACCTAGCAGTGGAAAAATCAGATTGCCTCAAATTGTACGTGGAGTTTGCTCAAGTTTTCAAGTTGAGTAAATCCATATTTTTGTCCGATGCTATTACCATTATAAATGTTATAAATTAATTTTAGTTCGCAAATGAACGACTATAGTCTTGCTTTCGTACGCAGTAATACCGATGCTTACCCACTTCACAATTGTCTCCAGTCCATGACTTTTTGCACACACACGAATAGGTTTGATTTTCCGCTTTGAACACACAAGAACCACCATTTGCACAGCCGGTCATTAAACAGCCCTGACAGAAGTAACAATTATGTAAATTTCTTGATGTTTAAAACAAGGAGGCTAACATACATTCCTTAATCAGTCACGCAAAGCTCCGACTTCTGGATGAGTCCCGCCATGATTTTTCTTGGTACTGAGCAAGCAAGCATGCACAAAAGAAAAGCTTTGAGGACGTAGTTGTAAGGTAGGCATGCACGAGAGGGTATGAAACTTTCACTGTCGCATCGTGTGCAATGCTTTTGCAAACTGTCCCAACTAAAACCCATTTTTAAGCCTGATCCGTTTCGTGTAAACCAGCTTGTGTGCTGCCCTACAACATGCGTATCTTTATATTGCGACGAAACAATTCACCTGCGGAGATGTATGGTGATGCCTTGTTATAATTTTAAACTCAAAGAAGAAACATTTACGTTAGGACAGCTGTCGGTGTAAAGAAGATATTTCCTGAGATGGGCAGGCAATATACTGACGCTTGCCGTAACATTCGTCTAAGGTTGTGCAACACATTTTTGCCAAAAACTGGGGACCTGAATATTTTATTTTATATAAGTAAGATAGATTCTCTATTTCTCTTGAAAATCACATGAGTAACAGTGTAAATGCAAACTTTGTTACGCCAGAAAAGAACACCTATATAAACTATTTTTTCAAAATAAAAAACCCACAATTCAGGGAAGATTCTCCCTGCAATCTTTCTTAATATGTGGCTACAGTTTCCTAGACTGGAAGAAGTTCTCTATCTAATCATAGTTCGGCACGGATAGCTAACTTTCAATTTCACTTACACTTAAATTCCTAAAAGAAAACGAAAAAAACTTCAATGCCGCTGAACTTAGAGAAAACATTTTTTGTTTATAAAATATGAGCAGTGCATGAGTAAAGTTCACTCTTCTAGTTGCTTTGAACTATCAACACCCGAGACACACAACAAAACGATAGCACGCATGCGCGTTTGAAGAGAAAGAAGACTTTCCGCCATTAAGTGTGATGCATCTTTTGACCGATTGCCGAAAAATTTATTTCTTATGCCCTCAGATACTTGATTGCCTGACAGAATGGTTCAATTACGATAGATTTTTATGAATTTGTAATGAATATTTTGTATTAAAACTAAAAGGTTGAAAACACATTAATTCTAACGCCGGAAGTGTACAACAAAGTGACCAGCTCCCAATTGGCTTATTGCACCGGTATCGTAGAGGTCATGGGTTCGAATCCCGTTCAAGATGGAATTTTTTTCAGCCTTTAATTTCACAACTCCCTAACCCTCGGACTTACAGGCTAACTCATACCGCAACCGTAACACAAGGGGGAGGAGGTCGATGGAGCCCCTCCTCTGGGATCTCGTTATGTTATGGCACAGCGAAAAAAAATTATATCGATCAGATAGCCCTAAGCATCCTCTACAAGATGAAACCATTTTTGTTGGTTATCAGGTAATATGACGTCAATGACGTCATTTGACCCGCTATCTTGGATCCGCCCTCTTGGTTTTCACCAGTTTTTAAAAAAGTCAAAAAAATAAGCCAGATTGCTTCTGAAATGTTCAAATTTGTGAATTTCTACAAATTGATGTAGAAAACTGTAAAAAAATACGGAATTATGTCAACAACAAAAAAGGTACATACACAAATGACAAACAGCTGCTGAAAGTTTCAGCCCCTTCGAGTAAATTGGTTTTCCAAAAATTTGAAAAAAACCTTTTGGGGGGTTCCCTCCCCCCCTTGTACGTCCGGGGTTTAATATGTGCGTATAATTGCGATGATCAATCGTGTCTTCATATCTTTTTCTGCAGTTCAAATATATGATATTTCCTTTATTAAATTTTTTGTGACATTAGTTATTGACGGCACAGGCTGTTTTCCAAAATTTGTATTCTCGTATTAATGCGAATGCAATTAAGGATGTGCAATTCGAGTGATCTTTGAAACTCCTCTCAAAATTGCACGAGCCGTATAGTTAAATATCACAAGTAGTGTAAATCTCTTTTTGTTTTTCGAGATTTCACAGGATAAACTATTTATTATATATTTTTCCTCGATATTTACAAAAAAGACGGAGTATAAAGTCGTTGGGCGTGCACATGACGCGAGAGTGGTTTGTTTACTTATCGCCAGGTGTCAACTACTACACTGTCATTTTCGTCGCATAATTTGCAAATAAAACTGATAAAACTACCAGCTATTGTAGAACATAACTTTTTAAGTAGTACGTTTCTTACCTTCAGAAGCATTGAGAATGTAACCCCCTGCTGATCATTTAACTGGGTGTTTTCGTTGATCAGCGTGTTGTCGTGCTTGTTAAGTTCACACGTTTTTTTTGCCGTCCTTCTTGGAAGACACCTTGAAGTTTGTGGAACTGCACCATGCGTTTCTCAAACACGACTGGCCGCAAGACATCAAACTTGGAGACTCAAACCATTTGACAACGTGTCCCGTAAGCCGCTTATTTTCCCGCGTTATGAAGTACCCTAAATGAGATGTGGAATCTTCATCTGCGGCCAAAACCCAGCTGTATATGGTCCCTTGAAAGAGAAAAAATAACAAAGCGTGTTTTGCTTCCATTATAGACAAGAGTCAAAGGGATGGCGGATGCTGATCATATAACAGTATATTTTGGTGCTTATACGACGTTGTGATTGGCCATTTCAGTTTGATTAATATTCGGATCCCTTAACTACGCAAATAATTAATGAGCCAACGGGTGGGCTATTTATTATTCAGCCATGTTGTGTAACAACCTAGCATTACTGAAAAATATACATATTTATCTTTACTTGAATTTCCCGTCTATTGGTGGTTATGTAGAGAACTTTTTTTTTATTTTAAGGAAAACGACCAATTTTAATTTGTCTATTTGTCTTAATTAGCATTTTTGCCTACTTATTATTCAACTTGCTTTGTAATCATTCATTCAACTGAAGATGACAGAAGCTCTGTAGAAACATGTCTTCCAAACTTAAAAAATTGGTCGTTTTCCTTAAAATCTTTACATGTCTGCTGCTATCTAGACCTTTTTTTTATCTTTTTAACTTTTGTTTGTCTTAGCTTCACACACCATCAAATTATTACTAAGCATATGCCGACAGCCCCTTCCTACATGCAAAAATACTAAATGTGATATTTGACGTCAGTTCGACTTTCAGTCGCCAGTAATTAAATTCTTTGAATATTTCAACATTTATTGTTATGGCTTTTTATCTTCCACGGGTATGACGGTTTCGTAGAAATATCTCTGCATGGCTTGCTGATGTTGCAGGAAAATGCACTGTCTTCCGATTTGTGTTTCTTTAATCACAGTCAAGTAGAAGGACTAAGTTCAAAGTATTAGGCAAACTGCCAAATCAGTTTGAAGCAGGTGATCGACGGGCCGTAATGTAACGGCTTCTTCTTTAATTTCTAGAGCTATCTACACGCAAGTCAGAATTTTCATCTATCTCGCTCATTTATTAATCCCTATGAATCCTTCGCTTCTGACCAGATTTCAAATGGTCATTATATATCATCAGGAGCCATAATGGCTCCTGATATCATTTATCAATGTCCTACGTACCTCCAGATGCCGGAAAGCTAATTTTTTTGCTACTGGTTTGTTGCTTGACTATTTTTCCAATAGAACGAAATTAATTAAACAATTATTTGCAGGCAAATTAGGAGCGTCTCTATGTCACATTGAATTGATATTGTGAATTATACCTAAGAAACAAAATGTACCAAGAAAGTCACACACGAAAACTAGTACATAGATGGGCATTATCAGAAAGCCAGAATGGCTCAGAGTCTCTCGGTCTGCACATTATTTTTGAGTTATTTTATTTATTTATTTTTCAATTTTTTTAATTTTTAATTTTTTTATTTTATTTTGTTTGTCAAAAGAATTTCTGTTAGGAGTGGCGACGGCCTGTGTGTCGAACAAAGAATATATGTAGGTATGTCACACCAATCGGATTGCAGCTACTGTGATCAATAACCGATCAACGTGATGCTTATAAAAATGTGATGGCTCGTGTGCCAGAAGAGGATTTGCTTCCATTAGAGAGCGGCCATTTTGTTTACTTACCACAATTGCTGCTAATCTCGCAATCTGATTGGCTAATTTGCCGTTGTCGATAAGAGTTCAGACCACGCTGCTCGCGTCAATATGTTGCCCAATGCCTTTTTCAGCTCGCGCTCTGAAAAAAAAAACGTTTTCTTTGACGTTGATATTGTAGTAAAAAAAGACAAATCGAAATGTGGTTTAGCGTGGTCTGTACTCTTATCGACAACGATACGCGTCATCACTGTAATGAGCGCGTATCGTTGTCGATAAGAGTACAGACCACGCTAAACCACATTCGATTTGTTAATTTTCTAATAGTGGTACTGATACTCATACTGATGCTCAAAATCTGCTTCCGGTTATGCTGAATTTTCTGAATATTTGATCGCATCGCACACCACACAGCAGTTAGTTAGGAATCTTTCAATTATTTTTATACTCAGCTCAGGTCTTCATGTAATGACTGAACGAAAAATAAACTAAATCAAAGTCATTTTTGAGCCCGAAACGAGACTGAACAGACACTTACTATTACTATTACTAATATCTACCTTCCGTTCCCTCGGAAACTAGCCAGCTGAACTATTTTTTAGTAATGAAGCTCTATCAGTTTCCTCGGAAGTTAGCCAGCTGAACCATATTTCAGTAATGAAATTTTATTGCTTTTTCATTCATGGGATAATTTTCCCTTACTATCGGTAACACCAATTTAGAACTTCAAATTAAGTATCTCACTTTCAATTAATTTCCCAAGTTTGTTCTATCTTAAGGTTATTCCCCTGAAATAAAACTGTCAATAGATTTTTGTTCAAACTTTGTCCAATGAATATTTATCATATGAGGACTTAAATTATAAAATAAAAAGGGGGGTGCTCATGCTCGTTAAGGAGCAGTGAGGCATTGAAAATGTCGCATTTTGGCGTTATATAATGCTTATTACAAGAATCCAAGTTACATTGTATTGTAAAATCTTTGTGAGCCCAGACTCATGAAAACACGCCTCAAAGTTTGATTTTGACGGACAGCTGAATCCTTGTTAAAATATTGGAATCAAATTGCTTGCCACGGCTATCAAACTGCAAAATGGAAAAGACTACAGTGCAGCTGCTATTTTCCGTATTTCTTCAATTTTTCTGACGCAAAGTTAATGATTAGTTGATTAAAACGACTGAAAAAATGTTGGGGTGACCAAGCTCGTTAGTGAGCTATAGCCATTTTTCAACTGACAGAGCTCAATATCAAGGCAAATCCGCTATGTTTTCAATGTGCGCGTGCACGAGCGCGCGCTAATGACGCCACAAATTATGCACAGTGAGGATGCGCAATGCAAATGTGACGAATCACCTTAATGTCAAGCTGTGAATTTTAATCTTAAACTCTAATTTTAATTTTGAAAACGTCGTAGCCTTGTTTAGCATTTCCTATCTTAATTAAAGTACTTTCGGCTTGTATTGTATGTTAGAAGTTGCATTGTCATGTTGCAAACACTTGACGTGTAAAGGATGATATGTAAGGAAGTGCGTTGTAAAGCTTATTCGATTACATTGATTACATCGACGATTACAACGTCGAGTACGCCGACGATTACGATTACATACCCGACTTAATCAAAACTATAACAAAATTCTCGAACGTGATTGGCTATCAGCAGCTCGATTTGAGCATTAATTGGACAGTGTACGTGTCATGCTCGTAATTGGACATTGTAATAGGACAGTGTACGTGTCATGCCTGTGTAACTGGACAGTACGCGTCATTTTGCAGGCGCTGTTGCGGTACACTTTGTTGAGTAAACTGCTGTGTTTTTCAGCATTCAAAACGACGTTTAATCCTTCAGCGATCAATCGATGGTTTGTTCGTTTCTCGAATTTTGTCATAGTTTTGATTAATTGGTAACAGGGCATCGTGTCGTCCAATTCAGTCTGTAATCATACTCGTGATTAACAAATCGGACTCCTGCGTCGCGGTCGTCCGATTTTGTTAATCACTCTTATGATTACCATTATTTACCAAACCTAAGCTTCCTTTTGAAAGTGAAACTGCGACTGAAAACTGTTGGCAGTGGCTCTCCACTTTTCGAGAATTAGAAAACACTGGCTGTTATAATAGCAGAACCTCTGCACGCCGAGGGCGCGCGAGCGATTTGTTAATCACTCGTATGATTACAGACCAAATTGGCCTCCACTCAGTCCTGTTGCCATTATCAATCGTCTTTTGGAAAATCCTCGATATATTGCTTTCGTAATTGCTACTATGTTGGCTACTGAAATTGAAGAATGATCATCACAGTCAATTTTCCAATTTAAGCAATTGGAGAGAAGAAGCCTGAAAAAATCAGGGCTTCAACGGGATTCGAACCCGTGACCTCC